GTGCAGCTTTGTCCTAGGCAAGGCAGCAACGCCGCCCTCAGCGAATCTGCCGCTCAAGGCAAACGCCTTGTTTGCCTCGCGGCAGATACGCCCCTGGGTGAAGGCCCTTTTCTTTTCCACCATGAACAAATCCAGCTCCATAAAGACATGAAGCTGGATTTGTACATGGGACCTTTCATGTACAATTCACAGTTTGGTGTGGAGGAACTTGAGTGTCCTGCACAGAACTCTGACCTCAACCCTACTGAATTGGAACACCAATCATGAGCCAGGCCTTCTCATCCAAAATCAGTACCTGACCTCACAAATTTCCACAGACACACTCCAAAGTCTTGTGGAAAGCCTTTCCAGAAGAGTGGAGGCTGTTAATAGTCACAAGGGGGTTGGAGCAGCTCTACAGGGGGGGGCAAGGGGGGTTGGGGGGGGCAACTCTATATTAATGTCCATGGTTTAGAATTTGATGTCCATCGAGCTCATATAGGTGTGATGGTCTGGTGTCCATCAACTTTTTGCCATATTGTGTTTCTGATACACTACTATGGTTAACTGCATGCAAAAATGCCAGTGCCCCGATGGATTATGAATCAAAGATCAGAGACAATCCTTAAAAACACTGGGGAGGATGTATAAAGGGTCTGAGATACATGACCCAGCTAATTCACTGAGACCATCCATCTGACCACGGCAATGTATGAGGTGTCTTATGGTCCTCTTTTTTGCCACGGGTATCCCCTTCATGCAACAGATGTGTGTCATTGTAAGTTAGAATGTGCCATGTGGAGCAACACATACTAGCACATCAGTACAATTTCATCAATCTACAATGAAGCCCCAAAATCTTATCCTAAACCTTGCCCTTTTTCTACTATGTGTCAGTGAAAGTGCAAGAAGCTTCCCTTCTGGCAACACCCATGCACTATGATAGATGCAGAAACTGGGGCACCAAGTGCCTTTCAGTCGTTAGATACATCCACCCCACTGTCCCTGACCCTGCAATATAAACAGAGAAAGTTGTAGCTTTCTCCTCCTCTAGGCTCTTGTGGACGTACCTTGTGTTCCTCCTCCTCAGATAGCTGGGTAGATGATAAGACATCTTGTGGCTGTATCTTGTGTTCCTCCTCCTCTGATGGGACATCGTGTTGCTCCATCTTGAGTTCCTCCTTTTCTGATGGAACCTCTTGTGCCTGAATGTTGTGTTCCTCCTCTGATGGGACATCTTGAGGCTGTGCCTTGTGTTCCTCCTCTGATGGGACATCTTGTGACTGTGCCTTGTGTTCCTCCTCTGATGGGACATCTTGAGGCTGTGCCTTGTGTTCCTCCTCTGATGGGACATCTTGTGACTGTGCCTTGTGTTCCTCCTCTAATGGGACATCTTGTGACTGTGCCTTGTGTTCCTCCTCTGATGGGACATCTTGAGGCTGTTCCTTGTGTTCCTCCTCTAATGGGACATCTTGAGGCTGTGCCTTGTATTCCTCCTCTAATGGGACATCTTGAGGCTGTGCCTTGTATTCCTCCTCTGATGGGACATCTTGCGGTTGCACCTTGTGTTCCTCCTCTAATGGGACATCTAGAGCCTGTGGAATTTCCACAGAGCTGTCCACAACTGTGGCATCTTCTTTATTATAGCTGATGCCTTCAGAGCGTGAAGTGAATACACTTTCCTCCGCATGCTGGAATCAAAACAGAAACCATTACTTTAATCTCATAGACCAGACAAAACGTTTTCTTTCAATGGATGGAGGCGGGGAAGGGTTGGACCCTCTATCAGAATTTTATTAACGTGTTCCCACTGGGACAATTTCTCCTCCACAGAGGAAGTGAGGGGAGATTGTGTTCCCACTAGGGACACAGCAATAAAAACCTGCAAGAAGCTGTAAGCCTTCCTTACGATAACACAGAAAAATACATTTACAGCAGAGCTGGCCTTTATTCATCAACATATTTCACCAAAACACCCAACTTTGCTATTGATGGACTTTAGAACATAATGACATCATGCCAGTCCTCTGCGTTCTCATTTCTGTATCTGTGTTCTAGTGTCAGGCAGTTACAGACACTCCACATTCAGAGTGAAGCTCCTCTGGCTGCATCACTGCACCGTTGGCTAAATCTTGGGCCGGAGATCAGGGAAATGGAATGGTGCACTACGGAGGTGGAAAAGTCCAATGCACTGTAAAATGGTTTAGTCTGAACATATTTTTGGAATAATCGATGTTTTTACATTGGTCTGGTGCATTATAACTAAACCCACATACAAGCGTGCCATTTCAAAAGTTAATTTCAATATTTTAAATCTGCAGCTCTGACTAAAATAATCCCTGGAGATCACATTATGAAGGTCCTTGTTCACGCACTTCCCGTCTGGTATGGGGGCACAATTCTCCCAACTGAGATCCTGCGTTGTCACCCTGTCTTATGATGGAGACACGTGAACCTTCAACACACATTTTGGAGCCATTGTCCACTGTTGTTGTCATCATCAATAAATCTGCCCCCCCGGGGAAATGCTATGCAGCCATTGCTGGAGTGCATGTAGACAGGATATAGCTGTACACAGGCTGCAGAAGATCAGCACTGAGATGAAACAACAGATTAAAAAAAAGGTCTTTTAATGAGGGTAACAACTTATAATACACAGTGCTTCAGCAAACTAGATGCCATCCAGTTACAGTTTACATGTACTGTTAAGTGAAACTCCTCCTAAACCACTTTTCACTTCTGGGTGAGGTAGAATAGGGTTTGATACCCGGCTGTGTCTTTGCCGGTATGGCATTGTGGGGTGGCCGCCGTAACCAGTGAACTTTCTGGTTACCCCGTCTGGGCTGCATTTTACATATATTCCAATGCAGAATGCAGTAGGGTCCCAGTGACACCAGCATTGTGGATGAAACACCAATCACAGCTGACCCTGGCTGTCATACTACAACCTGGGTTGGGGAGAGATGACCCCACCGGCGTCGTGGACAACACAAGAGATGGTGCATAGGACTGAACCCTCCTCCTCCCGTTCCACACAGACATGGTACTTGAAATATTATTGAGATACTTTTACATGCCACCAAAAATGAAGTTTTCACCCTGACGTTAAAACTTGAATCTCATACACAGTCAGTTTGATTGGCGGGTCGGCTTAGAGCAGATGTTCCCGCTCCTTCCTTGCCGCCGGGGAGTCTTCCTCCTCAGCCCCGGCGCAGTAAGAGTTAGTAATTATTTCTGGAATCAATGTGAAGTCTTCAGAGAAATCTTTCTCCTCGTTTTCTTGTCATATTGCAGTAGCAGCGTTGGATATAAAGTGTCTCCCCGCTGTGATGGAGGGTGGGAGGGAGGCAGCTCGCAGGCTGACATATGTCAGAGTTCTGCTCTGGCTCCGAACACAACAAATAATCGAAGCGCTCGTAAATTGTCATCCCATCAGGGAAGGCAAAGTGCCATTCCGCTTTGCTGGATGAGTCACCTCCCCGGTCTGTACAAAGTCTTTTCTTTTTCATAATATAACTATATTTATTGCAATGTCATGGGGACTTAGCTGGGTTAGATCACGAAGGGGACCTGTCACCAACACCAAATTAATTCATATTGGTGGCTAACCTAATATTCAGCCTTTCAGAGTCCCGGTGACTTGTGTGCCTCGCACCTCAGAGTGATCCGCATGAACATCGGCCTAAATGACAAACATGTAGGCAGCGCGTGTTCTTTCATGGCCATGACTCTCGTAATAAGACTTCTTCCAGGAGAGGGCTAGAGGAGCCATAGTGTGGGCTAAACGTGTTTGCAAGTTGTGGATGTTGGCAGCCATGTTTTAACAAGCTCATGCGTGTTTTGTTACATTGTTTAAAAGGCAGAGAGTATGGTCAGTGGGTTTAGGAAATGGTGGTTTAGGTACCGGATTACCCATCATGTGAGGACAGACGGGGCCGGATTTACTCTCTCTGCTGCCCCAGGGCCAGGTTCCTTAAGGTGCCCCCTTCCCCGCCAAATTTCAATTTCACCCCAGAAGGACGGGGCAGCAGGGTTGGTTTTTATTTATTTATTTTTTTAACTTTATAATCACTTGTACAGAACTAGCGGTGGCTTCCCTGCTCCATATTCTTTGGTCAAGCAGGGATAAATGTAGAAAACAACTACCTGCCCGACTCCCGGAACTGCATATCCTGGGTGTCAGGAGATAGGAATTCCCCACCCCTGCTGCCCCTCTACTCTCTGCTGCCCGGAGGACGGGCCTCGGTTGGCCTTGTGAGAAATCCGGCCCTGAGAACAGATGTTGCGGGATCTTAACGCATTCATGGTAAGGGGAGGGCTAAGGTGGCGGGTAGGAGGGCATTTGCCTCCTGGGCCAGTACCACAGATTGGGCTGGTGGATCTGCGTAGAGCTACTTTACCATTTAGACACTATAGATAGGGTGGTACAGGCAGTGCTACCATATTGGGCCCCATTGTAGCGCGCAGGGGGTCCCAGGTTCAGCAGAAAGAGTCCCACAAAGTGTAATAGAGCCATACTGTACATAATACATGGGGGGCGCAGTTTGCTCAGGCTCCTTCCCTATAGGATTCCTAAAGGAATGACGCACGTCCACCAAACTCGCTGCCCCCTCGGGTGACCGACTCCCTCGCAGGCCATTTGACTTTCTTTTGTTATGCTGCAGGCATAGGGGAAGGGAGGGCTGTCACGTAGGCTGTATGGGGCCCCATGATTTATAATGGCGGTCCTAACTGATGTCCCTGTTCCGAGTGAATCCATGGGGGACCAGCTCATTGCTTCACAATAAAGAATGCCACGACAACGGTGTATCAGCTACAAAAACATTTACCACTTACCCGTACTCCGTATTGATGTATTTATATTTAAACTTATCGTTTTTTCTTCTTTTCTTCTGAATTTTCTTTCTACTTTTTAAAAAAAACCCCGACATGTTGCCCTTCCCTCCCCGCTGGCTTCCATCTTTACACTTTGAAGTCAGTGGGAATTACATGAACAATGAGGGTCTGTTTTCTTTCTTTTCATTTCAAAGAGAATAAGAGAACGCATGAAATCAATACTATCCAGGGAACTTTGCAACTGTTCAAAAAGTCAAAAGGTTTGCCGAAGTCACCTTCAAGTCAATTTCCACTTTGTTGTATATATTGTATATTTGTTCCATGTTCCCATTCACATGACATAAGTTCTATATAACGGATTTAAAGGAGAACTATGAGGGGGGGAGGGGGGGAGGCGTGCTTTTCACTCACCTCATAGTTCTAGCCGACCTGTGACAATGAGACTGTCACAGGTCGGCTCAGTAGATCGGGAAGTGAGGGAACACATACCGGCGTTCGCTCACCTCTCGATCCTGTCACGGCTCTCTGCC